CAAAATGTGGCCCGGGAATGGAGTTCTGGGAAGTCGAAGAGCACGAAGTGGCCTACAGTTGGCTCCGGGCATCCAAAATGTGGCCCGGGAATGGAGTTCTGGGAACTCGAAGACCACGAAGTGGCCTACAGTTGGCTCCGGGCATCCAACATGTACGCCGGGAATGGAGTTCTAGCAGCGCCAAGAGCGATTTTGCGAGGATGTCCCAGGCGATTTGGGCTTCGACGGCAGCCGCCCCGGGTCCCGCCCCGACCCCCCTGAGGAGTCATGATGCTCTCTTTTGACCCCACTAGAAACCTATCAGTCTTCGCTGTTAGGTAATAAACATAGGTTGTTGGAAGTCCGTGCGGACGTCTTAGATCGGCACTCGGCCCCACTCCTTGGCGTGCGGAGCAGCGCCAGAGGCGCGCGACCCGATCCGAGAGCTCCGCGCGGACTTTCACAGGTTCATGTTGATCAGTATCGTTTCACCAGCCCCTATCCCCATCCCCGTCCCAAATTGGGTCCCCACCACCTCAGTACCCCAGTTGGGGACATGTTCCTCGAGACCCGACGGAAGCAGGCTCTATATATACACATAGCAATGCTAAGATTATCCCAGTGCGACCCCCACCTAGGAGTTGGAGCCTCTAGGAAAGCAACATTAGCAGCAGCAATAATGGATACTGCGCTATGATATGCTATGCTATGCTGTGCTATGCTATGCTATGCTGCGCAATGCTATACTGGGTTAGGCTAGGCTAGGGTATGCTGTGCTATGCTATGCTGCGCTTTGCTATGCTAAGCAATGCTATGCTATGCTATGCTATGTTATGTTGCGCTATGCTTTGCTATGCTATGCTGAACTATGCTATGCTGGGATAGACTAGGCTTGGCTATGCTATGCTGTGCTAATGCTGCGCTGCGCTATGCTGCGCTAAAACTAAGCTAAGCTATGCTATGCTATACTATGCTAAGCTAAGCTAAGCTAAGCTAGGCTAGGCTAGGCTAGGCTAGGCTAGGCTAAGTTAAGCTAAACTAAGCTAAGCCAAGCTAAGCTAAGCTAAGCTAAGATGAGCTAAGCTAAGCTAAACTAAGCTAAGCCAAGCTAGGCTAGGCAAAGCTAAGCTAAGCTAAGATGAGATAAGCTAAGCTAAGCTAAGCTGAGCTAAGCTAAGCTGGGTGAACCCAGGGGGCGCAGCTGGGGGAACCGCGGGGCGGATCCTGGGGGAACCGCCCGGGGCGGGGAGCACTGCCCGGCCCTTTAAGCGTACAGGGTAAGAACCCTTCTAGGCAGAGCCTTGGTAGGGAATTAACAGTCGTAGTAGTAATAACAACAAAAAGAAGAGGATCGATACTACTGCGAATCATCACGTATATCTATATATACACACGTACACACATACATACATATATGATTATAGATGTACATACATATATATATATATATATATATATATATATATATACACCCATCCAGGGGGGTACTCGGCCAGCTGGGGCCCAGGCCACGCCCACGGGGATACCGTGGTTTTCGAAAAAAAACGCCCATCTCTCATGCGCCATCTCCTGTTGTCCCTGGGCGTTTGTTTTTGTTCGAAAGCGCCGGCAAGGGGTCGGTGACACTATGCTCTCAGGGAAACCCAGGCCTCCCAGATGGGTTCCGAGTGGACCTTTTCGCCTGCTGGTGGGGGTCGGCCTCCTGGGGTTCGGGACAAGGTCGAAGCTCAATTCCTTGGATGCTCCGTGTCATGGCGCCCACATCGCAGAGCGGATTTCGTTCGGGGAAACAACAGGATGGGCCTGGAGTGTCCTGGAGGATTTCGGTCCGGATTTCAAGGCGAATTTCGCGCGGGTATTTTGGGCCAGGAATGAAGACTACAAAAAATCCGCGCGAAATTCACGTCGTCTTTCACTCGCCGTTTCGGGTGTTTTCCATCGGCAGAAATCCGCGCAAAACTCCGCTGCAGCACGTCTGCAGGGTCGGTGCCGTGATCCGTGTTCGGGACCGCATCTGTATCAACGTTCGTGTTTCTTTTTGTTTGCCTTAGATCGTCCTTTCTCTCGGGGGCGGCACAGAGGGGGGTGATGACGAGGGGGGGCGGATATCATGGCGGGGGCCACATGATATCTCCCCAGATCTCATGGCGCCTTGTCTTACTTCGTTGCGTCCCCAGCCCCCTCCCCTGGGCCGCGCACGCGCCGCCGGCCATGATCTGCCCCCCCCCCTCGGCCGCCCCCGACTTGCTGGGCACTCCTCGCCCAGGCCGCCCGGAGGGGGTCCGGGTGCGGCAGGCTCGCGTCGCGCCGGCACGGCGGCGGGCCCGTTGCGCGGGCGTTCAAGGGTGGGGTGCCGCCCGAGGCCCAGGATTGGCCGATGCGGAACGATTTGGCGATCGGCGAACTTTTTTGGTCTGCGGGTCGAGAGCGGGCCTCTTCCGGTTAAGAGCTAGGCGGGGCGCGCAAAGCACTAATTGGGGAGACAGGGCGCGGGCGGGCGGGGCCTCCGGCGGCCGGAGGGTGTGAAGTGCAGGCGGTGCCGAAGAGCATGCACAGGAAAAGGTACGCCTTGGACAGGAGCCGGAGGCGAAGTCCCGGAGGGAGAGCGAAGTGGTGTTGCCGTCAACCGCGATCGGCGAACACATCAAATACAAAATTAATAATTCAACATTTGGAAACAACACAGGTGTAACAATCCAACATAAACGTGATTCCCAAACAGAAACAGCTGCTGTGTTCAACGCACGACACACAAAACATTGAATTCGATTCATATATTCTGCCAACAGCGGCGGCCACCACGACAACGGTACGACGAGGAACACAAGGCCGCCCCTGCGAGCATCGCTTCCGCTCAAGTTCCCCCGAAAGGGGGAGCTTTGGCGGGAGCTTCTCCCGCAGGAGCCCGCACTCGCCCAGGGGCGTGTTGGAGATTCGGGGTCGCCCCGGGGGGGTTCCGGGGCTGGCCGACGCGGCGTCAGAATCCAACGCCGACGTCGTCACGAGACGAACCTGCCGTTTCGTGGGGTCGGAGGATCGCGCCGCATCGCCGACCCATCGGCGATGCGGCTCGATGTGGGGCCCACTTTTTTGTGGGCGTTTTTTGATTCATTGTTTTGCCGATCGGCGCCGGCCCTCGCACCCCCCCCCCCCCCAATGGAGTAGATCTTGGCTGTTTTGGGCCTGTTTCGGGCAGGTGGGGTCCCCCATCGGCCGCGCTGCTGCAAACAGTCGCACTAAGCAGAGGTCCGGAGCCAGCCCCCCTCCCTCCCCCCCTTTCCACCCAATGTCGAAACGCCGAATAAGAAAACGCTCACTTTTCCACGCCGACATCGCCGATGCATCCCCGATGCGTCGGCGATGCGGCGGGATGCTCCGACACTATCTGCCTCGGACCACATGTGGGAGTTCTCCAAGAAGACAGGGCATCAACACAGGGACCGAGCACAACGCTATTCAGCTTGGTTTTGGCTCTTGTTTTGTTTCTCGTTTCGTTATTCGTTGTTCCGTTGTGCTTCGTTTCGGTTTCTTTTTCGTTTGGCCCCGGTTCAGTTCTAAGCGTTCGTTTTGAACGTTCGGTCTCGTGTCGTTGACCGTTCGAAACGCCAGCGCGTTTTAAACAGCGTTGTCCTCGGTCGTGGAACATGAGCTTCCGCAGCTCCGCGCGAAGTTCTCGGATAGCGGCCCTGGCGGCGCCTCTGGCGGCGCCTCTTGCGCGCCGCCCCTGGCGCGCTCCCGTGCGCAGGGCGGTGTGTGTGTGTGTGTGCGTCGTGGGCCCACAGACGGGGTGGTGACCACACCGGGTGGTGCGTCGGTGGGGATGCGGCGTCACCGCACGGTTTTGGGACTCGGGTCGTTCTCCGAGGATGTCTCGGGCGACTGGGGCCTCCAGGGTCCCAAAACCGTGTGGTGACGGACCCTGCGGTGAGGTCTTTGGGGATCTCGAGGTCACCGCCGGGTCCGTCATCACACAGTTTTGGGACCCCCAGGGGTGGGTCCAGCGCCGATCCAGGAAATCTGCGCGGAGCTCCGACAGTCTATGCCCATGCCGCGGTTTCCTCCTCCGCCGCGATGGGGCGCTGTTGGCCTGCTTCTTGCACGCGATCCCCCCGCACTGAGGACAGCGTGCACGGAGAAAGCGACGCGGCGTGCTATTCCCGAGCCGATTTGCACGCTACAGTGGAGAACCATGCCAAGAAACACCCTGCTTGCCTCGAGGGTGCCCTGGGTTCTTGGGTCTCGATAGTTTTGCAATGGAAAGCGTGACGTCCCCACACCAATAATCAATGGACGTCCTGGGGTCTCAAGGTTGGGTTCCTTGTGGAAGGTTTTTTGTGGTCGTGCCCCTTCTGTATCCCCCACATGTGTTCGACAAAACGCGCTCCACATGGAGGTGCACGCTCGGACCTTACACTTCGGGGGAGAGCGTGCTTCGGAGATCGGTGTTGCACGCTCTTCTTTGCGACGCCAACCGTAATACGACATCCTTCGCGAAAGCAAACTCAAGTTGTTCCCACGGCGTGGCGACGCCCCCGGACCCCCCATTGCAAAGTTGACGCCAAAGTTGGCGACTGCCATTTTTTTCGTTGACCCCGCGGGCCGCGTTGCGCGCGTCCATCCATATTGAGACTCGGGCGGCGAGGGGGTTGGATAACCGCTTGCGTTTGATTTCGAGGAGGGCTCCAGGAATTGCGCCGGGTGTCGCGTCTTCCGCCTCCTGTGGTCTCCGCGCCCGCGGGCTCCTGCCCCTCTCCCCTCCTCGCGCTCTGGTTCTTCTCCGCCTCCGTGCCTCCACTCGCTCCCGGTGCATCCCACCGCCTGCTGGCCGCGCGTCCCTCCTCCCGCATCCCTCCCCGGAATCAACAACGCGAGTTCTTCCCACGACGTGGCGGCGCCCCCGGGTCCCCCGCTGCAGAGTGGACGGGGAAGTTGGCGACTGCAGCTTCTCGTGTCGACCCCGCGGGCCGCGCTGCCCGCGTCCATCCACGTGGAGATCTCGGGGGGCGAGGGCAGACAAAGCCAGGCACGTGCAGGCGTCGCATTTGTTACCCCGAAGGGTGCACCACATCTGGCGGTGTGCCAAGCCAGAGCAGCGCTTGAGGAATCCTGAGCAAGCTCAAGTATGCACCTCCCCAGGAAACAAATAAATGCGACAAGCAAGTCTCCAGTTGGAGACAGATCAGTTGTCACACGGATTCTAGGTCTTGCAACGTAGATCCATGCCGTGTTTTCCTCCTGTGGTCTGGGCGGGCTCCTCCGTCTCCCCTCCTCGCGCTCTGTCCTCGTCCGCCCTCGTGCCTCACGTCGCTTTCGGCCGACCTTAACATTGAGAGCGGACGCGCACGCTGCAATGGGATGCGTCTTCATTTTTTCGAAGGGCCCCAGGAGATGTCACAACTATCAACATTACAGTCGGGGGCGCGGGGGAGCAGCAGTGCCATCCGATTCGCAGCTCAACCCAAAATGGTGCAAACATTTTTGTCAACCGTATGGGAGGCTCCCATGTGTTGCCACCGAAACTCCTCCTCCTCCTCCTCCTCCTCCTCCTCCTCCTCCTCCTCCTCCTCCTCCTCCTCCTCCTCCTCCTCTCCCTCCTCCTTCCAGGTCTGGCACCGGGGGTCGCCCGTGGACGCCTCGGCCGCTCGGGCTCCGAGCCTCGCGGGCTGGCGGGCGTCGCGCGAGCACTCGCGGGAGCGGCCGACCGCGGCTTCCGAGGGCGGCGACGTGCTCACGATCCGGCGGCCTGCGGCAGTCCGCCGCGGCTCCAGCAGGAGGAAATCACGACGGAAGGTTTTTTCGTCGTTTCCTTGGATCGGGCACGTCCCTCTACAGGAGGAAGATTGGAACATCGTAGAACAGATAGTTTTGGAAACCATTGTTCGATCACTTTTGGACAATTCGGGGGCATGTTTTGATTCGTTTTTTATTATTCGTCCGAAATCCGCCTGTAAGAGGACATGCCCGACCTAACTCCAGCAGGAAAAAATCACGACGGAGGTGTTTTTCGTCGTTTCCGGTCCCTGGGTCCCTCACCGGGCACGGGGACCGTCAGAAAGCGGCCCAGGATGAAAGAGCGGTCTTGGGGAATCATGGGTCGAGGCATTGGGGGATCGACGTTCCGAAAGAGTCATGTGGCGTCGGGGGTCTGGGTCATGGGAAGGTTCCAGGGCCGTTCCAGAGTGACGCAGGGTGACGAGCAAGGGATGCCCGCGGGGGGCCGTCACGCAGCAGGAGGAGGAGGAGGATGCGAGGTGGGGAGGAGGTAGCCCAGATAATGTTAGCCCCGGAGCTATAAAGGGAAGACCGCCCCCACCCGAAAGATCTATGATTCTTCACCCGCAGTTCCGGCGGCTGCTGTGCTGCGGCGCTCCAGTTCTGCTGCCCTTCTGGCGCATGTGAGGTCGAGAGGCGTGATTTCGACGGTCTTGGGCCCCTCAAACATGTGCTACTCCTGCCCACAAAGGCTTTCATGTTTCTTGGGCTGACATTTAGCCCAGTGGAGCTGTAACACTCCCCAGCGTGCCAGCGGGCACAGTGGCGGATAGGATGGAACGAGCTGATCCATCAGGAGGAGCTGTTGGTCGGACCGCTGCTGGGCTCCGGGAGCTCTGCCCAGGTCTACCGCGGCTCTTGGCGGGGGCGGGAGGTTGCGATCAAGCAAATCTCGAGGGAGAAACAGCAGCGTAAACATGAAGTTCGTCCGCGCGGATTTCTTGGATTGGCGTTGGCCCCCTCCCCAGCGGCGCCTCCGGCGCCGCCTCCAGCGCGCGCCGCGCGCCAGGGAGGGGTGGGGGGGGGTTCAGCGCCGATCCAGGAACTCCGCGCGGAGCTTCGAAAGCTGATGTTTCCGCCGCTCTCTCTCCCTCTCGGCGTCAGCGGCGTCGCGCACCTCGAGGAGCTGCAGAAGGAGATCTGCGTGCTGCGGCGCCTGCAGCACCCGAGGCTCGTGCAGCTGCTGGGGGTCTGCCTGCAGCCCCCGCTGCTGGTGGTGGTCACGGAGCTCGTGGCGGCCGGCTCCCTGTACGACCGCCTCTTCGGGAGGGCGCCAGGCCCGCCGCTCACACCGCCGCAGCGGCGGGCGATCGGCTGCCACGTGGCCGAGGGCGTCGAGTTCCTGCACTCCCAGCGCGTGGTGCTCGGAGGGGGAAGAGGTTTTGGATGCTCGTCTTGGGGGACCTTCCTGGGGACCTCCCAGCGGATCTCTTCGACCCCAGTTGAGGTTTTGGAAGCTCGTTTTGGGGTACCTTCCTGGGGCCCACCTGACGGATCTGGTCGACCCAAGTTCGGTTCAATTTCGACTCAGGGTCGACTCAGGGTCGACGGACCTTGGACGCAGCTTCGACGCAAGAGCGGAGCGAGTGTCTCCAGGAGGGTCAGTATCCAGAAGAGGCACCGATGCCGCTGCTCGTCCCAGAGGGTCCTCGTCGCCACGGCTGGCTTCTCCTCGCGGAGGTCTGGTCCGGGCGCAGCCGGGCGGAGGTCCAGGGAGCAGTGGCATCGGTAGTTGTCCGTTCCCCCCCCCTGCAGGTGCACCGCGACCTGAAGTCCACGAACATCCTGCTGGGCGCCCAGGGGGCGAAGATCTGCGACCTGGGCCTCGCGCAGCAGATGGGCGTCGCCTCGACGAGGATTGCCCGGAGAATAGACGGCGAGGGCGGTTCCCCGAGGTACATGGCGCCGGAGTGTTGGGATGCCGCTCTCGGCAGCCTGACGGAGAAGATGGATATCTGGTCCATGGGATGCGTGCTGCTCGAGCTGCACGGCGAGCAGCTGCCGTACGCCAACTGCACCAGCATGGTCCAGCTCTCCGCGATGATCCTCGTGGAGACGGGGGTGGGGCAGAGATGCGTTCTCACTGGCTTGGCATCGCTCGGACGTGTGATTTTTTCTCGAGGGGGGCCATCCAGGAGCATTTTGGGTCATCAAGCGAACAAATACGCGCACCAAACCAACAATTGCACGGGGAGTGGACGTCCGCGCGATGGCAAGCTGATGCCTTCTCTCATCCTACCCCCCTCGTCCCCTCCTCCCTTTGCCTCCATTATAAAGAAGGGGAGCACGGGGAGCAGGGGGAGGAGGGTCAAGAGTGTGCGTGCGGTCGGACCGAGGCATAAGATCGAGGTCGGGACGGGGAGGGTACCCCAATGCCCTTCGTGTTTGGTGGGTTCTTGCGCATCCTGGGGGAGGATGCCCTCGGGTGTTCGTCAGCTTGGCCGGCGGAGGGTCTCGTGTTCTTAGGTCGGTGGCGAGCGAGGGGGGGGAAGTGAGCAGGAGAAGGCCTTCTCAGAAGGTTCGGAGAGGCCTCCGGCCTCTGAGAAGTTCTCTAAGCCTTCCCCTCGCTTGCTCGCTCGGCCGTGCATCCGGTAGGACGCGTTGGCAAACGCAGGTTGCGACGTTGGCAGCCGAACGGAAAACATGAACTGCAAGTTTACAGTGGGTGCTGCCAAACTAGGAAAGGGGAGGGGAGGGAGGAAGGTGAGATTGCCTCAGACCGTACACTGAAGAGGCCCATTGCTGTCGAGGCCTGCCACGTCGTCGATGGCGCGCCCAACACTTTGGTAATACATCTGGTTCGCACACAAATTGCCGCACCAGGGAACGATGTCCACTTCCAGAAATCTTGAGGTACGCTTTCTCCTGCCTGTCCAGAAAAACTTCGACAGAGGTTTCGCGCCGGCTCTCCTCAGAATGTCTGCGTTGCTAACTCTCGAGATGAACGAGGGATGCACACGGACAATGCGTCGTAGACACTTGCAGTGGAAAGCATCAAGGCGTGCACTGTCTGCTTCCAGTAGCCAAATTGAGTCCAAAGAGTAAAGCAGCTTGCTCACCACACAACTTGTGTTAATAGTTTGCTTTCGCCGTTTTCCAATCGAGGCGTGGTTCCAGAGCTTATCCAACTGCTTGACCACCTTTGTGTATTCATAGTCTCCGCGTCAGTTCTGTGGCAACCTTCCCATCGCAGGTGATCCGTCCTCCTAGGTAAACAGCCTCGCGGACGGACTTGATAACGCCCCCGCCTGGTCGTGATATTATAGTGTTTGTTGATAGTTGCATTTGTAGCTTTTTGTCCCTAATTCAATTCCAAACCATAGTTCTTTCCTTCTGTGAGAATGGCCAAGAGCATACTATCAATGTTTTGCTGGTGGTTCGAGAGTAAATGTGTACCGACGGCGTACAGTATGTCGCGCGTCACCACATCTGCCAGATCTTTTTGTAGATCGAGTTTACCAAAACATCATGCAGCATCACGCTCTGAACGATGATGAAACATATGGTGATAATGGGCACCCTTGTGCTATGCCCGCCCGCTGTTGTCTCTCTCAGCGGAAGAGCCTGTATGGTCCAATATAGTGAAGTACCTCGCCTCATAAGTTGATCGAATCATGTCTGCCATATCTGCCGGGATACCAAAACGACCCAAAGCGTCGCACATGCAGTCTGGCTTGATCCTGTCGAATGCTTTGGCCCAGTCCAACATTACAAGAATTATATCACCGCTTTTGTCTTGGTATGCTGCGTCGATGATGCGCCGGACCAGCATGAGCGCATCTTGAGTGCCCCTCCCTGGTCTGAAGCCGTACTGAGAATTTCGTAGTCGACGTTCTGCTCCGCCGTGTAAAAGCCTTTGGTGCAGTAGGGCTGTAAGAACTTTGTAACCCACCGGAAGTAGGGATATGGGCCTATAGTTGGCCGGCAATAGATTATCTTTTTTGAACAATAATATCACGTTGGCACGTTTCCAAATTTCTGGAATGGTTTTCTGGCACACTTCGAGCAAAACGCCGCCCGCCCTTGTATCAGATACCAATGCTTTCCAACAATCTGGAGGCACATCATCTGGGCCGGCGGCCTTTCCTTCCTTCAGCTTCTGAAGTACAGCTTGAAGTTCTTTCATCGTGAATGCGTCGGTGTTGACAGGAAGTGCGTTGCCCAATTGCGCGTGGTGATCTGGTCGTGTCTCTGGGAATGTGTACTCCCACTGTACGTGTTCTCAGAAGGCGCGAGGCCTTCTCAGAAGGCGCGAGGCCTTCTGAGAAGTCCCGCCGCCTTCTGAGAAGACCTTCTCCTTCTCACTTACTCCTCCTCCTCCTCCTCGTCCTCTTCCTCCCTTCTCCTCCTCCCCCTCCTCCTCCTCCCTCCTCCTCCTCCTCCTCCTCCTCCTCCTCCTCGTCCTCCTCCTCCTCCTCCTCCTCCTCCTCCTCCTCCTCCCGTGAACACGATCGGAGCTCGATCGTGTTCACCATTCGAGCTCGAACGATCCGCGCGGTGCCAGAAACCTTTCTCGGGCTGGCCTCGATCGCGGTCGGACCGAGGTCTGAGATCGAGGTGGCTTTGGTGAGGGTTACCCTGACGTTCTTCGTGCTTGCGAGATGTTCCTGTGCATCCTGGGGGAGGGTGCCCTCGAGCGACCTGATGGCCTGGGGTGTTTTGGCCGGCGGAGGGTCTCATGCTCTTAAGGGATGTTCTTCTGTCCTCGTGTTCGTGCTTCAGGGCAGCAGCCGTGGCGCCTGGGAGTTCTGTGGCTGCGCAGGCCCACTGCGCATCGGTGGGCCCGGACTTCGGGGAGGCGGCCCTCGACGCCCCCTCCTCTGCGGCACCTCGCCGCGCAGCGGAGCCGAAGAGCACGCTGTGCCAGAGAGGAACGTCTCACGTTCTTGAGTCTTGAGGGACGCTCTTCTGTCCCGGGTCCGACCGCAACATGACGGTGCTCGTGCTCCATGGAAGCAGCCGTGGCGCCTGGGACCTCTGGGCATCACGGCCGTGCAGGCCCACTGCGCATCGGTGGGTCCAGGCTTCAGGGAGGAAACCTTCGACGCCTCCTCCTCCTCCTCCTCCTGCTCCGCCTCCTCCGCCTCCTCCTCCGCCTCCTTTTCCTCCTCCTCCTCCGCCTCCTCCTCCTCTTCCTCCCCTTCCTCCTCCTCCTCCTCCTCCTCCTCCTCCTCCTCCTCCTCCTCCTCCTCCTCCCCCCTCTCTCTCTGCGTCGCTCACTTGGGCGCTGTGCAGCGGAGCCGAAGAGATTCTTGTGCCAGAAAGGAACGCCAGGCCGGTCATGGCGCGAAGCTGCCGTACGGTAGGTTCACGTCGTGTCGACCGGCGGCGACCCCGCACGCCGCCGGCGACCCAAGATCGGTCGAGGCTGAGCGGTCCGACGCTTCGGAAGCGGCCAGTGGTTCGAGGTGGAACGATCCCCGCGGTGTCAGGAACCAGCGCCGAAGCCGGCACGGCACGAACCTGCCGTGTGGCTTCTGCTTCCCCAGGCAGGGCCGCCTACGATCCGATTCGATGCGATTCGATTCGCCCGCTGGGGTCGCGATTCCAATTCGATGCGATCCGGCTCTATTCACTGGCATCGGCCAGGGCCAGCCGGAAGCGAGGCGCGGCGATTCGATACCGATCCGATTCGGGACGATTCGCTGGCGATTCGATCCGCTCTCGATCCGATCCGATCTCGCGATCCGATCCAGCGCAGACCTGCCAGGAGAAGCGGCCCCCAGCCATCCCAGAGTCGGTTCCGCAGTGCCTGGCGGCGCTCATACGCAGCTGCTGCGCCTTCGACCAGAACTGCAGGCCGACGGCGGTCGAGCTGCTCTGCGAGCTGTCACGGCAGGCGGGCGGGTGAGGCGCCCATGGTGCGCGGGCGGCCCAGCGCACGCTGGGCCCCGCCTCCAGGTCGGCAGGCTTCCAGGCTGCTTGCGCTTGTTGCTCTCGAAGAAGAGACAACGCCATAAACGTATGCTTTTGGCGCTCCGCGCGGATTTCTTGGATCCGCGCTGGGCCCTCCCGGCGGCGCCTCCGGCGCCGCCCCTGGCGCGCTCCGCGCGCCAGGGAGGGGGGTCCAGCGCATTCCAGCACAGATCCAGGAAATCCACACGGAGCGCCAAAAGTAAATGTTCATGGGTTTTTACTCGTCTTCTATATTCGCGCTAGCCGAGAGGGTTTAGACCGCCATCTTTACCAGACGGGGAAGGGTAAGATGGCGAAGCCACCTACGACTGCGTGTTGCCTGCTCATCGTCGGCCCGTGAGTCGAGGCCTCCTAGATGGGGTCGGAGTAGATGGGGTCGGAGGATCGCGCCGCATCGCCGATGCATCGCCGATGCGGCTCGACGTGGGGCCCGATTTGCTTCACGTCGGCGTTTGCTATGCATCGCCGACGTCGACGATGCATCGCTGGTGCATCACCGATTCATCGACGACGTATCGCCGATGCATCGCCGATTTATCGGCGATGCGGCCCGATCCTCCGACCCCATCTTCTCCGACCCCATCCAGGAGGCCTCCAGTGAGGACGTTCGCGGAGGTCAAGGGAGATCGGTTCCTCACGGGAGCCGTATTGGCGAGTCCACGTTTTGATACGATCTGTTTGATTTTGCCTTTCTGACCCGCCCCCGACGAATCGTAAGTAGGTGGAGGCGCAAAGCAGTCTCCATTTCTTTGTTGTTTGGCATGCTCATCTACTAGCAGGAGCATGTGGATAGTCTGCGTCTCCGCACGTCAGAACGTGGTGTTTGGGAGGGGAGGAGGAGTAGGAGGAGGAGGACGAGGATAATGAGGAGGAGGAGGTGGAGGAAGGAGGTGATGATGATGATGATGATGATGATGATGATGATGCTGATGCTGATGCTGATGCTGATGCTGATGCTGATGCTGATGCTGATGCTGATGATGATGATGATGATGATGATGATGATGATGATGATGATGATGATGATTATGATGAGATGATGATGATGATGGTGATGGTGATGGTGGTGATGATGAAAGTATGCTGATGTTGATGATGATGATGATGATGATGATGATGATGATGATGATGATGATGATGATGATGATGATGATGATGATGATGATGATGATGATGATGATGATGATGATGATGATGATGATGATGATGATGATGATGATGATGATGATGATGATGATGATGATGATGATGATGTGATGATGATGATGATGATGATGATGATGATGATGATGATGATGATGATGATGATGATGATGATGATGATGATGATGATGATGATGATGATGCTGATGCTGATGCTGATGCTGATGCTGATGATGATGCTGCTGCTGCTGCTGTTGATGCTGATGCTGATGCTGATGCTGATGCTGATGATGATGATGATGAGGAGGAGAGGAGGAGGAGGAGGAGGAGGAGGAGGAGGAGGAGGGGAGGGGGGAGGGGGAGGGGGAGGGGGGGGAGGAGGAGGAGGAGGGGAGCGGGAGGGGGCGGGGGGGGGGAGGTGGGGGAGGAGGAGAGGAGGAGGAGGAGGAGGAGGGAGGGGGAGGAGGAGGAGGAGGAGGAGGAGGAGGAGGAGGAGAGGAAGAGGAGGAGGAAGAGGAGGAGGAGGAGGAGGAGGAGGAGGAGGAGGAGGAGGAGGAGGAGGAGGAGGAGGAGGAGGAGGAGGAGGGGGAGAGGGGAGGGGAAGGGGAAGGGGAATCACAAGGAGGCGAAGGAGGAGCTTGTTGCTAGCACCTGTCGTTAGGCCTCGCCCCATCGCCTCTCCGCAGTGCGCTCGTCTGTTCTGTGCCTTTGCTCGGGCGCTCGCCCTATTGCCGCTGATCCTGCTGCTCCTCGACGCCTCCCCCTCTCCCTCCCTGCTCGTCGTCCTCAACCTTCTCCTCCTCCTCCTCCTCTTCCTCCTCCTCTTCCTCCTCCTCCTCTTCCTCCTCTCCCTCCCTCCTCCTCCTCCTCCTTCCCTCCTCCTCTTCCTCTTCCTCTGGTTGCACATATTCCGCACTTGCTGTGAAAACACGTAGCACCCCGCAGTTGCGGATAAGAGTAATGGACCGGCGGGGACGTCGGCAGTTCACGAGGCTCTGAAGAAGCCCGCCGCAGGCACATAATTTTGACCTATACGACCACCCTCCGGGTGACAAGGAGGTTCGGGGGGGGAGGAATCAACGTCTCACTCGATCGGTCTCACGATCGATCTCACTATCGGTCTCGCTCGATCGATCTCACCCGATCGATCTCACAATCGATCTCACTCGATCATTTCATTCGATCGATCTCACAATCGATATGACTATCGATCTCACAATCGATCTCACTATCGAACCATCGATCTCACAATCGATCTCACTTTCGGTCTCACTGTCGATCTCACTATCGATATCACAATCGATATCACAATCAACGTCATCATCATCATCATCAACATCATCGTCATCAACGCCATCAACATCAACATCATCATCATCATGATCATCACCATCATCATCATCATCATCATCATCATCGGGACACCATCATCATCATCACCTCACCACCATCATCATCAACATCATCATCACCATCATCATCATCATCATCATCATCATCATCATCATCATCATCATCATCGGGACACCGTCATCGTCACCATCGTCGTCATCAACATTATCATCATCGGGACACCATCATAATCATCATCATTATCATCATCATCATCATCATCATCATTATCATCATCATCATCATCGGAACATCCGTAGCCATTTTTGGCTCAAGGCGGCCCTTGGCTGTATTGCCACCCCGCGTGCCCCCTTGCCTGCCCCGCTCCCCGCGTGCCCTCCTTGGCTGCGCCGGCCCTTCCCATGGATCCGTCGCCCCGTGTTGCCGACGACCCCTACTTGCTGGTGTGCCAGCTGCACGGCCGTTTGCTACGGTCCTGTGCCGGCGTGCTGGCTCTTCATCCGCAAGGTCTGGCACAAGCGTCTCGGTCCTTACGTCGCGAGCGGGCCCTGCCGCCTTCCATCGCGAACAAGCTGATCAAGATCGACTTCGCCTACAACCTGATTCGACATATAACGATTCGCTCTGATACAGACTTTATCGATGAGGTCTCCGGTATCTTGCGCGGTGAGCCAGTTGCTGACTGTGAAAATGCTCCTGGTTGTGGTCCTGAAGGTCGTGCCGACGATCGTGATAATCCAGGTCTACCTCCTGAGCCTGGTTGTGCGGATCCTCCTGACGAGCTGGGTCCTGAAGATCTTCGTGAGGTTCCTTTGGTCACAGACTTTATCCAGGAGGTCTCCGGTATCGTGCGCGGAGAGCCAGTTGCTGACGGAGATGCTGTTCCTGGGTTTCCTGGAGGTCGGGTCTATGATCTTCGTGAAGAAGTCCTTCATGGAGATGCTGACGCCGAACGTCGCGGCGAGGACCTTCCTGATGATGCTGGTGGTGTCCCTGCAGATGCTCATGTCTGTGGTCGTCCTGTCGATGATCTTCGTGAAGCCGTCCCTCCTGGAGATGCTGATGCCGAACGTCGTGGAGAAGACCTTCGCGGTGGAGCTGGAGATGTCCGTGCAGATGCTCATGACTGTTGCCGTCCTGCCGTTCCTGACGGACTGGGTCCCGAAGATCTTCCTCGTGTAGTTCGTTTGGTCACAGACTTCAGCAAGGAGGTCCTTGGTTTCATGAGGGAGCCAGGTGCGGACGGTGACGCTGTTCCTGGGCGTCCTGGGGGTCGTGTCGATGATCTTCGTGAAGACGTCCTTCCTGGAGGCGCTGACGCCGAACGTCGTGGAGAAGTCCTTCGTGATGGTGCTGGTGTTGTCCCTGCAGATTCTCATGACTGCGGTCGTCCTGTCGATGCTCATCGTGAAGACGTTCTTCCTGGAGATGCTGATGCCAAACGTCGTGGAGAAGACATTCGTGGTGGAGCTGGAGCTGTCCCTGCAGATGCTCATGACTGTGGTCGTCCTGCCGATCACGCTGATCATCCTCGTGAAGTCGACCTTCCTGGAGATGCTGGCGCCGACCGGCGTGGAGATGACCTGCCAGGTCGTCCAGTCCTGCTTCCCGAGCCTGTTGGTTGCGATCTTCGTAGGGAATCGGGTCGTGCCGCTCCTCTTCCTGTACCTGGTCGCGCAGATCGTGTGGTACCGTCGGAGGTACGGTTCCCAGTGGGATGCTGCGTCGTAGTTGAAGGCATGGTGACTCTGCGCTCCGCTGGGACATCGTCATTCCTCGCAGTGCAAGACAGGTTCAAGGTGCTTGGATATGGCTTCGGACGATTCGCTGGTAGTCTTCGCGTGGCTGTCGAGCGACATCCTCTCGGCTACAGGTTCGGCTTCCTCGATGCTGAGCTGGCCAAGCGGCCTGAGTCTTCCGTTGACCATGTGGATGAATTGTGCATTGGTGCATGAGTTCGTTGCGAAAAAAAGCATCATCATCATCGGAACACCATCAGCATCATCATCATCATCATCATCATCACCATCATCAAAGCCATCTACCTCAGGCCTTTGAGGAACGTGGCTTTGCGAGTTAATGCGTTTTCTCGCCCCGTCGTGCCCATATTCGCTAGCCATGGATGTGCACCCCGCTGGCCAGCGCATTCCGGAACGCTCATCTGCTTGATGGCACATTGCCCCACGATGCGCCTTTCTTCTTCGGCACGGCGGCGCATCCGGCGTGCAGCGTGCAGTCGGCGCTGGATGGCTAGCGCGATCATGGGGATGTTGGAGCCCCCGCACCCGCACTCGCGCGAGGCGCTCTTACGGGCGCGCCCCTGCCATCCTCGTGGTCTTGCCTTGCGACCCGCTCCGGAGATTGATCTTGCCGACCGCGGCCCGCGGGTGGTCCGCGCGGCCTGCGCGCCTGGTCAGCGTGAAGGTCCACGCCCTGACGATGGTTCGACGTCTGTAGTGAACCCCGTGGCCCCGGTTGACTCGCTTTCTGCGTCTTCGAGGGCGTCGGCCAGTCTGTCAATTTCTTCTTCGCCATGTTCACGCACGTGTCGGTGGACGTCGAGACGACGCCATGTCACTATTTCGGTTTCTTCGACGGCTCCCGCCTGTCAGTCGCTTTCCACCTCGCCTTGGTCACGGGTCTCCCGATGGCCCTTGCGACGCCGAGGCGGTGGTCGAGCCTATCTGGAGAACGTCGACCCGTCCTATCGGCCGAACGAGGAGGTAGACCCGTCCGACACATCGGCGGACTTAGAGTCTAACGTTTTCGACTTGCTGGGCGACCTCGGCTCGGTCACCACGGACTCCTTCGTTGAGAGTTTTCTTGAAAGGTATGCCGACGATTATCCAGAAGTACTCGATTTTCCCCCGACGTATCACATCCCCTTCCGAGTTGTAGTGAATCATGTGATATACGCAATGCTGCACGCAGGCATTGTCCAGGAGTCGTACGGCATTCTGACAATGTTTTGTTCGGTTGCGGGCTGTGCTCTACGTGCACTTATTGTCGCGGCCTCGCGCTTCTGAGGCTGTTCCGCGGTGGGCCCGATGCGAACGCCGAGGACGTCATCAGTGGCGTGCATCCCACCGCGGGCTGGCGGGCCCGATGCGTCCGCCGAGGACGTCATCAGGGCGGGCATCCCGCTAGCGCACGGCAGGCCCGATGCGGTTGCCGAGGGGCTGGCCCCCCGTGCAAGCATCCTGCTGTGCACCCTGTAGCATTGTTTATTTCACGTTGTGGCCGTTGCAGATTCTGCAGCCTCTGTGCGCGTCACTACTGACGTTTCATACAGTGGCTTTCTTTGACCGACTGCACATGCCAGGCTGTGTTGCCTGCG